ACATTTTAGATTTACATTCTAGTTTCAGTAAGAGAGAAAGTTCCTAAATATCTTGGTATCAGTTTCTAAGTTATAAATTACCTCCAGTAGGAGACCGTTGAATTTTCCTTCAGGGGTGGCCAATTAGAAGACTTACATAGATTCTGTGTGATTATTCAACTAAGTTCCTTCTTACAGGTCTCTAGCCTTCTTTAACGCTTTGTTATGTTTTTTTCTTTTTTCTTTTTTTCTCGTTTTCATTATACCTTACTAAAGAGTTCATCATTCATTGAGTTTATCCAGAGAAATTTTGCTTTGACAATGTGAGTAACAGTAAATATTTATCAGGCATTTAGTGGTAATTCCTAGCACAAGCAAACAAAAAAGAAAAGATTAAAAACAAAAAAACAAAACAAAACAAAAAACAAAAACAAAAACCTGAATTCAATGAATTTTTTTTAAGTCCTATGAAAGCGTGACAGTCATTCTTATTCACGTCAACGAAGATGAAGTATAGAAAGTGAGAAATGCAAGCATGTTTAAGTTATGGAAACATCTGAGCAAAGATCTTAAACATAGTACTTTACATGTGGGTTTACAGTAATTTAAAATATTAAACTGTTATTCTTCTTTGTTTATTGTTCCATGTCCAGATGTAGTGCATATTTGTACGTATAAGGTGGATTTTATATCCAGATGTGCATAAATGTTTATGAGTGTATGTGGAGAATAGAAATTGACATCAAGTGCCTTCTTAAATCACTTTCCAACTCTTCTTATGGCATGGGTGATCTCTGACCTTGTAGTTCACTGATTTGGTTAATCTATCTGGCTAGCTTGCTTTAGGGATTTTTCATCTATGTGTATACCTGAGCACTAAGTTTTTACAAAGCCTGGATGGTATGTTTCATAGTGGAAGATAAATAATATGTATATACGTATACATATGTGTGTGTGTGTGTGTGTGTGTGTGTGTGTGTGTGTGTGTGTGTATGAAATAGACAAATTAAAATATTGTAGCAGGAATCTTACAAGTTCTTATTAATAAAATCAAACCTGGAGCCAGGAAGTGGGGTGAACGCTGGAAGATCAGAGAAGCAGAACAAGCCACAGCCACCTCACCTTGCCAGTTCCTCAGCTGATCCTGTTTCCTCAGACTGGAAGCTTCTGAGTCCTCATCCAAAATGGATCTCAGCTGAACTGTGCTGCTCAAAGCCTAAAAGCTTAATCAGCCAAATGATTCTAGTTTCTGGTCTTCAAGCCTTATATATCTTTCCTTTCTACCATCACTCCCTGGGATTAAAGGCGTGTGTCACCATGCCTCGCTGTTTCCAATGTGGCCTAGAACTCACAGAGATCTAGAGGGATTTCTACCTCTGGAATGCTAGAATTAAAGGTGTGAGTGCCACCATGTTCTAGCCTTTGTATCTAGTGGCTGTTCTGTCTTTGACTCCAGATAAGTGTATTAGGGTGCACAATATTTTGGGGAACACAATACCACCACAAAATATATTTTTAATACCCAAAGTTTCATAAATATTACATGTTATTGTCAAATTTTAAAAACATTTTCACCATGTCTTTAAAGGAAAAAATATAGTATATAATCATAAAATAAAATTATTCATTTTAAAGGCAAAAGATAATAAACATGCAAGACATAAAATTGCTACACAATTATAGAAGCTTATTGAACAAAAAGATTTAGAATAAAATGATGGCTACAAATTAAAATTGAGTATTTTGAAGACAAATGAAGAACATGTAATTTTTAAAATGTTTTGTATAAATTCTAGAAATGAACATTGAAGTTGAAAAGAATGATAGACTTCATGAAAAACAACTCTTTCTAATCAAAGAAATTCTTTTAACTATATTATCTCCTTCAGTGGACTCTTTTTCATAAATGTATACTTTAGGAAATGTGCTCGTAAGTGACATTTTATTACTCAGTGAGCCTCCAACTCCAATAATATGAATGATTCTTCACTTTTATTAATGACACAATCTTTAGAAAAAGCAAAGATAATGTCATATTCAACTGAAGAAATAAAACTGTAATAACTATTAAAATACAAAGTTATGGTTAATATAAAGTACATGGTGTAAAAATTTGATGAAAAGCATTAATATTCAAAGTATGCAGAGTAAATAAGAAGCTTGTAATAAGCTAAGATCTGTAGCTTATATTAAACCTAACTAATAAAACATAGTCCAAAAATAAAACAATTGTCAAACACAGAAATGGAAATAATATTAAGTATATTTAATATAATATTAAATATTTTGAAGTGGAGCATTGTTTGAAATTGCCTTTTTCACGTGGCACTGAATAGAATTCAGTGAGCCTAAGCCAGAACCAAGAGTGGAGATAAAATACAATAAGGTACCTATAGGGAATTAGAAGCCCTACCTCTTTAATGTTCTATATAGTTAAAGAAACACACAAATGAAGCACCAATGACTAGAGAACAAATATTCAAAATATTAGCCCTTGGATGGGAATGCAAATGATAGCATTCAACATATGGTCACCAGAAGCTCATGGCAATCTGAAAATAGAACATTGATTCTGTCAAGCATCCTCATTATGTTAAGGTTTCCAATATTCTTGAAAGTCCAATGCCTATTCAGAGTCTCAAAGGAAACTCCTACTTATGAACTCTTGTAAATGAAAGTGAAAACTACATCCATCTAATATACAACCGTCCTTTTTGGCCAACAGCATTTGTTAAATATCCTTTATTTTTTCAGTGTTTGTTTCCAGCTTCTCTATTAAAAGTCAGGTATCCATAGGTGTGTGGGTTTGTGTTTTGGCTACTCTCATTTTTTTTTTGTGCTTTTGTACAAATGTAAGGATTGATTTTTTTCAGTTTATGTGAAGAATTGTGTTTGAATTTTTATAGGGACTGTTACTGAATCTAGATTGCTTTTGTAGGATGGCCATTTTCACTGTATTTATCCTAGAGATCCATAAGGATAAGAACACATTTCATTTTCAGCTGTCTTTTTCAAGTTATTTCTTTAGTATCTCAATATTTTAATACACAAATTGTTCACTTGTTTGGTTAGTGCTGCCCCAACATTTATTTTTCTTTTCTCCCCCTACCTTCTTTTTTTCTCAGGCATGAAGATTGGAAAGGAACTAGAATCTTACACATTGCTGGTGTTATTGTAAATTCCCTCAGTCCTGTGATAATCAGTGTAGGAATTTCTTAAACAACTTCAAAAAACTACTACCCTATTATCTTATTATACTATTCTTAGATATGTAGAGGGTGAAATCTAAATCAGTATACAACACGGACACAAGCAAATGTGCACAAACACAAATGTGTGTGTTTGTTCATTTATTTATTTATTTAGTTTGTTTGTTATCTAGTTAGTTAGTTTTGGTTTATTGAGAGAGTGTCCTCTGTGCAGATCTAGCTGTCCTGGAACTTACTCTGTAGACCAGACAAGCTTGGAACTCAGTATCCACTTGCTTCTGACAACCTAGTGCTGGGATTAAAGGTATATGCCACCATTGCCTGGCTGTGTGTTTGTTAATAACATTACTATTTAGATGTAGATACATTTTGAATCAGCCTGGATGTTTATCAACTGATGAATGAAGAAAATATGGTACATAAATTCAATGGAGGTTTAATTAACAGTAGAGATAAATGAACTTTTGCCATTAGTGAAAACTACATGGAATGGTAAGTCACTACACCAAGGAATATAAACAAGAATCAAAAGACAAATTTCATAATTTCACCTCATGATCATAATCCAGATTTGTATGCCTACAAGGTTAGTGCATGTATGAGAAATTACAGCATAAGGGAATTAGAATGGATAAGGAGAGGTTCTAGCATAGAGAAGGAGAATAAGAAATAAGAAAATGTGAATATAAGAAAAATATGAAAGGTGTAGATTAATATTATCATAAAACTCACTGTTTTGTTTATTAAAAATTATTTTAAGAGCCCAGAAGAAGGCAAACTGATTAAGAGCACTTCCTGCTTCACAGAGGAACCAAGTGCAATTCCCAACAGCCACATTGGGTAATTCCTATCTGTAGTATATAGCATCTGGCATTGAAAATCACTCATACAGATGCAGCATGAATTCACACACACACACACACACACACACACACACACACACACACACACACACACACACGCACACATGTATGCTCACACAGAAAGATAAACACACACACACACAATGTCCACATAATAAAATTAAACTTTTTTAAACGATGTTACATTTTTAAACTATTATTGTCTACATAGTTCTAAAATGGTTCTAAACTTTATAAATCATGAAAATATCAAGACCCTACAATTCGGGGCTGTCTGTATGCCTCATATCTTGGGTAATTCCATATCATGTATATGAATTCAAACCTTCCAGCTGAAGGATGAAATTCCACTGTCTAGTGAATATGAAATAGGAAAATAATATGTGACTAATAGTTCATTTCATAAGACAGTCAATACCATATGATTTGTATGGTATATGTACATACTAAAAAGCTGAACAAATATTTTAAAACAAATTTAATTTTCATTTAATTGATAATGGGTTATGATGAAATATTTAATATGGAATTGACATGGCAAAATCTTTAATGGGGGAAATTACAAGAGATGCCACATACAAATATTTTTTAAATATCTTCCAATGTGTGAAAATATGTTATTTCTTACTATGGCTTGCTGAGTTTGCAGATATCATCCACCAATGGCTCGTCGCTTCCTCCTAGTTGTTTGGCTAACATCTGTGTCTATTAGCAAGCATACATAGTCTGAATTACAGCAAATCAAATAATTGACATTCAATTAGACTGAATTCCTTCCAAGCTGACTTTACCCTGATTGTGCCTTTATAATCTAAATAGCCCATACTAGCAACTCATGTGCCTTTAAATAAATTAATTATATTTACTTTATATTATTTTGTTTCATATAATATGAATTAATGAAAATTGCTATATTAAAGATAAACATTTTTTAAAAATGTACAATGGAGAGTTATCTAAAAGGAGAGAAAGCTAGCACTCCCCTTGAGAATGATGGAAGAGGCCCTTGGGCCTAACAACACATATATGGTTAAGGCATTGCCACCTACTTGGTGACATTTAATCAGTGTTTTTCATCCTTCTGCTTCATACAAGAAACACACCACAACTTCGTAGACAGACACAACCCAGAGTAAAAGGCTGGGAAAAGGCTTTCCAATCAAATGGACTTAAGAAGCAAGCTGATATAGCTATCCTAATATCTAAAAAAATAGACTTCAAACTAAAATCAATTAGAAGAAGTCAGGAAGGACATTACACATTTATCACAGGAAAAAATACACCAAGATGAACTTTCAATTCTTAATATTTAAGCCCTAAATAAAAATGTGGGCACCATGTTTGTAAAAGAAATATTACTAAAGCTTAAATTGTACATCAAACCCCACACATTAGTAGTATGAGATTTCAACATCGCACACTCACCAATGGCCAGGTCTGCCAGACAGAAACTTAACAGACAAATAAGGGAACTAACAGACATTTTGACTCAAGTGGACTTAATTTATATCTACAGAACAAAAGAATATACCTTCTTCTCAGCACCCCATGGAATCTTCTCTAAAATTGACTATATGCTCCATCACAATGCAAATCTCAACAGATATAAAAAAATGTAATAACCTCTTTATTCTATCAGACCGCCATGACTTAAAGTTAGATTCAGCAACAACAAAAATTAAAGAAAGCCTACAATCTTATAGAAACTGAATAATGCCCAACTGAATCACCAATGGGTTAGGAAGAAATGAAATAAATTAAGGATTTTCTAGAATTCAATGAAAATAAATGTACAACATACCCAAACTTATGGGACACTACTAAAGCAGTGCTAAGAAGAAAATTCATAGCACTAAATGCCACATAAAGAAGATGGTTAAATATCACACTAGTGCCTTAACAGCAAACCCAAAGGCTCTTGAACAAAAAGAAGCAAAGTCACCCAGGAGGAATAGATGCCAGGAAATAATGAAATTGAGGACTGAAATCAATAAAATAGAAACAAAGCAAACAATACAACAGATCAATGAAACAAAGAGTTGGTTCTTTGAGAAAATCAACCAGATAGACAAGCCCTTATCCAAATTAACCAAAAGGCAGAGAGAGAGAGAGAGAGAGAGAGAGAGAGAGAGAGAGAGAGAGAGAGAGAGAGAGAGAGAGAGAATGAATGCAAATTAACAAAATCAGAAATGAAAAAGGAGATATAACAGATGAGGAAATCCAGAGAATCATCAGGTCATACTTCAAAAACCTGTACGCCACAAAATTTGAAAATCTGAAAGAATTGGACAGTCTTCAGGATAGGTACCACATACCTAAGTTAAATTAAAAAAAAGCAGTCATTAAAGTCTCCCAAATTAAAAAAGCCCAAGGTTTCATCACAGAATTCTACCAGATTTTCAAATAAGAGCTAATACCAATACTCTTCAAATTGTTCCACACAATAGAAACAGAAGGAACATTACCAAACTCTTTTTATGGGGTTACAGTTACCCTGATACTCAAACCACACAAAGATGCAACAAAGAAAGATAATTACAGACTAATCTCCATCATGATCATTGATGCAAAATACTCAAGAAAATATTGGCAAACCAAATCCAAGAACACATCAAAATTATCCACCATGACCAAATAGGTTTCATCCAAAAGATGCAAGGTTGGTCTAACATATGAAAGTCTGTCAATATAATACACCATATAAACAAATTGAAAGAAAAAAAAACCACATGATCATCTCACTAGATGCTGGAAAACCCTTTGACAAAATCCAACACCCCTTCATAAATGTCTTGGAGAGATCAGGAATACAAGGAACATAACTAAAGATAATAAAGGCAATTTACAACAAAGCAACACCCAACATCAAATTAAATGAAAAAAAAAACAAAACTCAGAGCAATTCCAATAAAATCAGGAACAAGACAAGGCTGTCCACTCTCCCCATATTTATTCAATATAGTGATTGAAGTTCTACCTACAGCAATAAGACAACAAAAGGAGATCAAAGGGATAGATATTGGAAAGGAAGAAGTCAAACTTTCACCATTTGCAGATTATATGATAGTGTACATAAGTGACCCCAAAATTTCTATGGGAATTCCTACAGCTGATAAACTCCTTCAGTAATTTGGCAGGATACAAGATTAAATAAAAAAATCAGTAGCCTTCCTATATACAAATGACAAAAGGGTTGAGAAGAAATCAAATATACATCACCCTTTACAAGAGTGACCAATAATATAAAATACCTTGGGGTAACTCTAACTAAGCAAGTGAAGGACCTGTATGATGAGAATTTTAAGTCTCTGAAGAAAGAAATTGAAGAAGATATCAGAAAATGGAATGATCTCCCACGCTCATGGATAGGTGAGAGTAACATAGTAAAAATGGCAAACTTACCAAAAGAAATCTCAGATTCAATGCAATCTCCATCAACATCCCAACAGAATTCTTCACAGACTTGGAAAGAACAATACTCAACTTCATATGGAAAAACAAAAACTCAGGATAGTTAAAAGAATCCTGTACAATAAAGAAACCTCTGGAGGCATCATGATCCCTGACCTCAAGCTCTACTATAGAGCTATAGTAATAAAAACAGCTTGGTACTTGCATAAAAACCCAACATGTAGACCAATGAAATCAAATTGAAGATCCTGACATTAACCTGCACACCTATGAACACTTGATTTTTGACAAAGAAGCCAAAACTATAGCATGGAAAAAAGTAAGCATCTTCAGCAAATGGTGCTGGCATAACTGAATGTCAACATGTAGAAGATTGCAAAAAGATCCATATCTGTCACTATGCATAGAACTCAAGTGGATCAAAGACCTCAACATAAATCCAGTTACACTGAACTTGATAGAAGCAAAAGTAGGAAGTATTCTTGAATGCATTGGCACAGGAGACCAGTTCCTAAATATAATACTAGTAGCACACACACTGAGAGCAACAATTAATAAATGGGACCTCCTAAAACTGAGAAGTTTTTGTAGAGCAAAAGACATGGTCAATAAGACAAAACAACAGCCTACAGAATGGTAAAAGATCTTCACCAATCCCACAGCTGACAGAATGCTGATCTCTAAAATATATAACGAATTCAAGAAACTAGACATCAAAATACTGAATAATCTAATTAAAGAATGGGCTACAGAGCTAAACAGAGAATTCTCAACAAAAGAATCTCAAATGGCCGAAATACACTTAAGGATTGCTCAACATCCTTAATCATCACGTTAATGCAAACAGAAACAGCTCTGAGGTACCATCTTACACCTGTCAGAATGGCTAAGATCAAAAACACTGCCCCTAGGCAGAAGGATTGGGAACCATCCCTGGTACATGAGCAGGGTTTGAGGAGCCCAGTGCCTATGGTGGGACATCTTAAGCAGCCTTGGTGCAGGGAGAGGACTTGGAACTGTCACAACTGAATGTACCAAGCTCTGCTGACTCCTCATGGGAGAGCTTTGCCTTGGAGGAGATGGGAATAGGGGGACATATTGGGGGGTGAAGCTAGGGGGTTGCAGGAAGGGAGGAGAGGGGGATCTGTGGTTGGTAAGTAAAATTAATAGATGTTTCTTAATTATATATATATGTATATATATGCATAAATATAATGGCAAATACAATTTAAATAACCTTAATGTGGAAAACAAAAACATTCATTTTTAATATTTCAACTAAAGATTATTAAAACATACCCAAGTTTTCTCTTAATAAAATACTATCAATATTTTATCAACAAAATATTATCTTAAAAATAACCATCAACATATATTTTGGGGTAATAAGTACTTTAATTATACTTTTTGTGTGTTTAACAAGGATGGACATATGTACTAAACAGTTACTTTCTTGACGGTATAGAAAGTCCTTGAACTTTTTTCACAGTGGAGGCTGGTTTCTCCTATTCTGTTCCAAAACAATCTAAAATAATCCACTTTGTTTTCTTTCAGTATATTTTCACATTTTCCTTTGGTAGAATTCATTTCTAGAATTTCATATCACATAAATATTTTTAAAATTCTATAAATTACAGGTTATTGTTTTTGTTTTAAAAAGCTGGATTATTTCCATAGATTTTTTTTCTCACTAAATAGAAAAATTAAAAATGTACCTTAGATTTTGAGACAGTAGAATGATCGTTCAAGTTTAAATGCTTTGTTTAGTTTCCTTTTTAAATATTGAAGTTAAATGATTATGATGTCTTCAAATACTTCCTTTATGGATTCAGAAATGAAATGTAGGTTTTTATTTAAAAACAAAATCAAAATTCATCTTGTCCATGTTAATTTACTTTCACTGTTTTCCATGAAGCTCAAAAAATAAAATAGTTTCTGAGACTAGATACTTCTTTTCTCGTCATGAAGTTCACTTATAACCACATTCCTTCTCTCTCGGATGTGGTTAAATTTATACATGAGATAGAGTTTAACACACATTTGTAAATCATGTGTTCCTCCTATGCACTGAAATTTGCTGAGATTATATATTGTGGTGAAATAAAATTAATATCAAATAATATACATTACTCAATGGAAATGGAAATTAATGAGTCACTGATTCCCAAATTTTATTCTAAAAGATTTGAATTATGGACAGGTGTGATTATAGGTTAGTGTTTTCAAAAATAAAGAACAGAAAACCTATATAATACATGTTTCATGAACTTGAAATAGTGTTGTTTCATTGAATGTAATTGTGAGTTTTTGTTATATTCTAAATATAAGTTGTTTTCTTATTTCTTCTAAGCATAACATAGAATTTTATCAGCACAATAATTGAGAAGCTAATAAATGACACTTTGTGTTTTGATGTATATTTCATGTGTATTTACACAAAATCTGGTTAATCCAGACACTGTCTAATATGTAAAAGGATGGCAGAAAGCAATGCTTATATTTAAACCTACTGAATATCAATATGTTATGAGAAAGGACTTGTAGCAATTCAACCTCAGATTGTACTATGCAAAACAACAGTATTTTACTGTAATTGCTAATTGTAACTTGCAATTTATATGTTACTATATATTGAGTATTTTTTGTTACTATTTATTGAGTATT